CTCACTTTTTATTAGCAAACTTTGAACTACCAAACGATGCCAAAATCTCTTTCCTTCTTTCAAATTTTTTTTCGTTCACACAGCAAAGTTTAGCTTATCTTCGCTCGATCAGTCGGTCGGTAGTTCTCGAGTTGCTATTGCCATTCACATCTCCAACTCTTTCCTTCCACAGCTAAATCCATCCATCCATCCATTCATCCATCCATCCATCCGTCCATCCATCCACTTTTAGTACAGAGAGCTAGCTGACTTTACATCACCTCAGCTACTTACTTTCATCCATCCAAGTATTTGCTCAGTTAAACTAACTGACTCGCTTACTTGCTAACTAACTAACTTACTAACTTACTTCTCTCCCACACAAATTGCTCATTTTCCTGCTTGTTTTTCATCATTTAGTTGTTGAACGCCAAAGTAATAAATACCTTTTGAACATTTCTTCACTTTATACTCTCACTATTTCACTCAAACTTTTAAATAAAAAAATAAATGAAAACAAATAATAAATGCTTTTGTGACAATTATTTCATTCTTTCAAAAATTTATTGATAATTTAATAAGCCAAATGTTATCATCACTCACGTTCGCATTATTTTCACGTTTTTATGCACGCATAATCACTACTTCATATACATTTGTAAACAAGAATAAAATACTTGTTACAATGTTAAAACTGTACTTTTACTTTAACAAAATGTTGCTTGTAATATATTTTGTCAAAAATGATTGATTGATCGATTAATTGATTGATTGAATAAACAATCATTTTCATCAAAATGTGACCAAAACTGTTTGATTTTGACAAAGTAATCATCTAATTTGTTATTTGCTCGTTTAATTTTAGAGTAAAGATTCACAACAGCATATGCATGTGTACATTTCAAGTATATGTGTTGCTAATGACCTTCGCTACATTCTTACAATTGCTACTTTGATGAATCTTTCGCGTGTAATAATCAGAAAATACTTGAAAACAACTGGATATGCTAGCTTACTTAAACAGTGCAATGCGTGTAGAAAAATTTGCATATTACAAATTCACATTACTCATATTTAAATATGAAATAATAAATTTAGTTTTACAATTACATTGTCATCTCTTACGCATTGTTACTTCTCGGCTTCTTTCATTTAGACTGTTTACTGAGCAGATAGATGCATATTAATAGCTAGCTAGCACTAGCCATTATGTGCATAAGTAATGCAGCATCCTATTCTCACAGATCAGTATTTTGTCCAAAATGATTGATATAAATATAGAATAAAAGGGAAATTCTGTTTGATAATATGCAAATTTTGTTCCTCAAATTCAACTTCTTGGCTCTTTGAAACTTTTTGTGCTAATACAATCAATCACCTCCTACAACTAAACTTTTCCGCTGCCAAGATTTGTGATTAGCTCGTTGCAAATTTGCGCTGCGAGCACTTCAATATTAATTAATTACTTAATATATATGATTTCTGTTTCTTAAATTCAAAATTAATATACTTAAATTAATAATTTGTATATTTGTTTTCCTTCAAATGTAATTTATGCACAAACAAACTAAATTATCAAATTGCATGAAATGTGATTGAATTACTCTTCAGGAAATCAAAACTGATCTTTGCAAATTGCATTGTGCATTTTGGTTGGGAAGGTCAGAAATTTTTTGTATTGATTATATGCCTTAATTTCATTTGCATTTTTCCTTTTGTTAAGAAAAAAAGTTTTCCTTTTCAAATAAACTTTGACCTTTTTTCATTATTTATCATACTTTCTTATTCAGTGTACCTTTATGCTTTTTATACTGACCAAAAAGTAAAATTTTTGGAAAAAATTATTAATTTTATTTTCTTTCGATTGATATTTTTAGTAAACGGTTGAAATTGTATTATCTGTGATGATTCTTTGCATAAATTAACTTCTCGTTGAGTTCCGTGCAGCAAATTCTTATGCTTTTTGTACAGTGTTAGCAAATGTTTTTATGCAGTGGTAAATATTTGCATTGCAAGGATTGTTTTGGAAACTTTTGCTTAAAATATTTGTTTTGTGAGAAACGATGCATCGTTTCCAGCAAAGCAACCGTTCTTCCCGCAGAGAACAAACTCATTTTAGGTCAAAGTTTACTCATCATGCAAATTATGTAAGAGCTGAAATTTAGGTACTTACGTATTCTAAATTTGCTCCAAGCAAACATTTCCTTATATGCTTACTTCCAAAAAACATTCAGCTTTTACATGATCCCTATGATTCTGTGTAATTTCTATCATTTACATTATTTCTGAAACTTCTGTGTTTGAATCCTGTTTTCAGTAGTAATCAAAAATTACATTCTAAAAAATGTTGTATTTAAATGATTAAAGTAAGATTTAACACCAAATTTCTATTTTTTCAAGATTCAGTAATCAAGCGATAATAAAGATTTATTCAGAATGCGATTAATAATCAAAGCTCCCAAATTGTAATACAACAATAATGACAAATTGCAAACGTTTTGGTATGAGAACAAAGGTTGATCAAAAAATATTGTGACCTCATTGTTTTTGACCTTTACTCTCGCATTTATCATTTATTTGATTGAAAAAAGCAAGAAATTTATCGTTAATAAGAGAAATACAATAATGAACTGTTGTTGATTGCAGTAATCATCATAGTTAGAGTAGTTAATTGAGTTTGTGATAAAAATAATGCCAAGAAAATGCTAGTCAATTTGGGTTGAACGAAATAAATGACAAGAAAGATGGATGTGACCCAAATAGTTCGTTGAAAGGCAAGAAACCATAGTTGGATTATTGTTGGAGCAATGATGATCGCCTGTTTAACTATTCTTTATCATCAGTTATGATTACAGTTACACTTGCAGTCACAATTATGCCTTACTTACTTATCCAATTTTCAATTCGTCATTCAGTTAGTGTTAATTAGCTCTCACTGTAATTATCCAAATAGCATTATACAACAAGATGGTTTATTAAGATATATTCACGACCAGAATTATATCATCAAGTCACATTAACAATATGATTCTAATAATTGGATTAAATTTATTTGCTTATTTTTCTATGCAGATGCCAAAAAGACTTTAAAAAATTGACTTATTAGATTTTAGAAATAATTTTAGAAACAATACATAATGATTATTGTGAAGATAAGTAGGACAAAGTTAGAACGGCGTCAAAGTTGACGTCAGATATTTTCATTACAGATATTAAGTAAGGGCATTCCGCGAAACCACTACTATTCTTTTTTGCAAATTTGTTATGGAAAAGTGTAAACGTGTGACTATGAAATTAGACATGGACTAATAAATATTTAATAGAAAACAAATGGCTATATAATTAATATTTATTGTTCTATTAATTATTAAGCCTTTTTGAGTCTGTTAGTAACATTGTGCTATCATTTATTAGCTTTTGATAACTCGATCATAAAGACGCACTACGAAAAATAGGCTGTATAACTTGAAAATGTAATCCAGTTATTATTTAAAATAAATATAAAGTATATTTGTAAAAGTTTTACCTATTTTTGGTATTGGAGTAGAGCAAACAATATGGTGGAATATTATCAGCAACCACCGTTAAACAATTACAGTTATCATCAGAAGCCTGGCTATGACTATACCCAACAAGAAGAGGAATGGGATCGGGAAGGATTACTTGACCCAGCCTGGGAAAAGCAACAAAAGAAGGTCACGTTGACTAACTTAAAATTCAAGAATTGACAGACTTCTGCTTCATTCATTATCCTGAGCTTTTTACGGAGATTTCTTTTTTTACTTTCATGCGAATTTGCATGTCTACAATTTTTCAAAGCTTCTAAGAAATTATGCTCCATAACGAAACATAAACATTATCATTCCCATCAATAAAAGTTAGTATTATAAAACTTGAAATAATTTGAAATATTATTTGCAGACATTCACAGCATGGTGCAATAGTCATCTAAGAAAAGCTGGCACTAGCATCGAAGTTATTGAGGAAGATTTCAGAAATGGTCTGACATTTTGATTTAAATCGTAAAGTATCAAAACACTTTATCACTAACTAATTTCCGCCAAAATATGCCTTAATACTTAAATGCTGCTGATTTGAATAGGATTTCAGGCTTGAAATTAATGCTACTACTAGAAGTGATATCAGGCGAAGCACTTCCTCGACCTGACCGTGGAAAAATGCGCTTCCATAAGATTGCCAATGTCAACAAAGCTTTAGAATATATCGAAAGTAAAGGTGTAAAGTTGGTCTCCATCGGAGCTGAAGGTCATTTTGCTATTATGTAGTAATTTTCTTGCTTATTAGTATGTATATGAAATTGTGGTTGAAAAAAATTCATTTTCGTTCTAAAACTTTTTCATTTGATCAGCTTTTAGATAGAATTTTGTCCATTTTTTTATTTTTGTGCAAGTGTAATACAAAAGAACAAACTTCAGAAATAGAAAATACTAAAATGTTATTTTTTAAAAAGTTTTTGAAAAACAGTACCTCAGCAGAGGTCAAAGTTTAGCAAATTTAAATTAACTACCACATGATTCTGTTAATAATTTGATTCAAAGTTTGGAAAGTGGTTTCAAATTTAAACTTCACGGATATTCGTACTTCTTTTTGTGTAGTAAAACAGTTTTTTAAGAAATTGTGGACGGTAATGTAAAAATGACCCTTGGCCTTATTTGGACAATTATTCTTCGCTTTGCAATTCAAGACATAAATGTTGAAGGTTTATTACTCATTATTATTTGATAATTTGTTTCACGACATTATTCTACTGAATCAAATTTACTGAAATTATTTGATTTAAGCTTATTGACCCAAATAATTCAGTTCATTCATTAATATTTGGTCTGCTTCCGGTTTTATTGCACTGAGTATGTCCTATGCAGAAAACTGTAATAATGCTTCTAGTAATTTGAGTGTTATTTATGGATTTTTTATCTGCTAAATCTATCATTAATTTGCTGAAATAAATCCGCAAAAATTTTTGTAGAATATTCTAATGAATCATTTTAAGAATTATCAGCTCGTGATGGATTATTATTATGGTGCCAACGTAAAACTGCTCCTTACAGTAATGTAAACGTGCAGAATTTCCATACGAGGTAATCACGTACAATTTTTTTCAGTCTGTAAATAATCTGTCAAATATTTAAAGTTGATTTGCTTTTATTAAAAGTTATTAAAAAATGAAATATTTTAGCTTAATAATTTTCAGCTGGAAAGACGGCTTAGCATTTTGCGCGTTAATTCATCGTCACCGGCCAGAACTGATTGATTATTCAAAACTGCATAAGGGTGATCCATTACACAACCTGAATCTAGCTTTTGATGTAGCAGAAAAATGCTTGGATATACCAAGGATGCTTGATGCAGAAGGTTATTACAATAAACTTCATACATAATTCACATGAGATGGAAAGTGTTTCAATTATTATTCATAATAATGAATTTGGAGCAATTTTTCGTGGTGTTTTTTGGCTCAACAAAAACAGAAAATTAAGGCGAGAATTTGCAAAGTCTTCAGATCTCATCCACAGCCAAAAGCCAGATGAAAAATCGGTTATGACTTACGTGTCATGTTTCTATCATGCATTTCGCGGTGGTCAACAGGTTTAACTTTCTCCCGTGGTTTCTTGAATGTGTCTAAAACGTGTCCGTGCTTTTGTTTACTTAATATTTGTTTTTGACTTACAATTCCAATGAATAATTTTCATCACAAACTCATTTCTTTTCAAAGATTGTATCATTTAACGTCTTTTTGTGCTACTACTGCTACTACTACTACTACTAGTACTTATTCTCAATGTTGTTTTTGGTAAAACAGTGCAGTCTCGTAATGCAGTTTTACTGTCAAAACAATTTTATAATTATTTAATTTAATTAATTATTATGTGATAAGAGTTGAGTAATTTTTCCAAGAAGTAAAACTTTTTACTTAGCTGATAGCTGAAATTATTCAACACTTATCAAAATTAAAGTAAGAAAAAACTTAAAAAGAATGGAATGTTGTTTTAGTAGGATTTTATGAACAGTTCAGCATTTTTTGAAAAGTTTCACAAGTTGTTTTATAAGCAGTTTAACTTGAGATTTAAAAATACAAATAAAAGGCAATAAAGTTAAAAAAATTGATCGGTTTCGTGGAAAATTCAGAAAACTTGGATCTGTACACTTATTTACACGTTATAACAAAATCACTTTTGTTACAATTAACGGATTAGCAATGCTTTTGCTTTGAATAATTCTCAAGAAACACTTGAAATAACTGCTTACAGATATGGTAAGCAATGTACCTGACGAGAAAGCGGTCATGACCTATGTGTCCAGCTATTATCATTATTTTCTCGGCATGCGCAAGGTGTGCGCTTTTTACTTAAAAACTTTGCTGCATGAATGACATTTGTCTTATTTCTAAATAACTCAATTTTTTGCTGTTAATTTAATAATTTTTAGACTGGATGTGAATGCATGGTTAGTAATAAGTTTGTTATTACAACAAAAATGTAAATTTATCAACAAAAAAAAGCGGAATTTTTGTAGGCTGAGACAGCAGCTCATCGCATAAATCGAGTGCTAAAGGTTAATCAAGAAAATGAAAGAATGATGGAAGACTATGAAAGTATGGCAAGTGATGTGAGTATTTATTACTTATATGATTAATCTTTAAGCAATTAAAATTCAAATTATTGAATATAATTTAAACTAACTGTAAGTTAGTATTCCGCACTAATTGCTAATAATATTACACTTCCTCTGAAAAAATATAAAAGTAATGACCTTCAGGTAATAATCCTGAGTATTCAGCACTTTAATCAATTGCATAGAAACAATTTTTTGTTTAGAAGAATTGTTTTTAGCTTTTGGCTTGGATTCGTCGTTGGATGCCATGGCTAGCGAATAGATCAAGTAATGAATCATTGGATACAATTCGCAGAAAGTTGGATGATTTTAGGAATTATCGCAGGAGGGAGAAGCCGCCCAGAGTGGAAGAAAAAGGAAACTTAGAAACGCTCTTCAATACTTTGCAGACAAAACTTAGGCTGAGCAATCGACCCGCGTTTTTGCCTACTGAAGGACATCTCATTAAAGCAAGTTGTGCTTAATTTTGATTATTTATTATTTTAGAAATTTCGCATCTAAACAAAAATTTGCACTGAAAATGAGTAACTAGCTTACTTACCATTTCTTGTTGTAGGATATCACTTATTTAATTTAGGATATCAATTCTGCTTGGCGTGGTTTGGAGGATTCCGAGAAAGGTTTCGAGGAATGGCTTTTGAGTGAAATGATGAGGTTATTGTGATAAAATTATCAGATTTTAGATATGAAACGAAATCATCTTTAAAGATAGAATTAAAAGTAAATACTCGAAAAGTATCTGAATTTAATTTGAAATCGAATTAAAGTTATAATAATGTGCTAAAAGAAGTCGCATTCTTCGTTCACTGCAATATACTGGCCAGGGATTTGCATTATTTTCCGTGCCAAATATTCAGATTGGAGAGGTTAGAACATCTTGCGGAAAAATTCCGTCGCAAGTGTGCCTTATATGAAGAATGGGCCCATGGCAAAGAAGGCGCACTTCGTTCATCTGATTGGAAATCTTGTGGATTATATAAGATCAAAGTGATATGATTTTTTCATCAAAAATTTCTGGAAAAATCTTTGCATATGTGCATAAAAATTAATAGCTTTTGACAGTATCATCTGTAATGTTATGCAAATATCTAAGGCTCTACGTAAAAGACACGAAGCTTTCGAAAGTGATCTTGGAGCTCACCAAGATAGGGTAGAACAAATCACCGCTATTGCTCGAGAACTCAACAATCTGAGATATCCTGATATAAATCCAATTAATGCAAGATGTCAGGTAATATGCAAAATTCCAGAAAAATCTTTGCACATGCATAATTACTTATAATTTTTAAATAATTTTCATACTTGGCCAGCAATGTTAGAAATTCGAGATAATTTTTGGAAACTATTTTATAATTCAGAACATCTGTGATCAGTGGGATCGTCTTGGTAGTTTATCGCAACAACGACGTAAGCAGCTAGAGGATGCAGAACGCGTCGCAGAGCGCCTCGACAGACTATATCTCGACTTCGCAAAGCGTGCAGCACCATTTAATAACTGGTAGCAATGCTAGATTTTCAAGAAATATTTATTTTACAATTAAAATATTAATTATCACTAATGCTCACTATAATTAAAATGAATATGCATAATTTAGGCTTGACGGAGCACGTGAAGACTTAGCTGATATTGTCATTGTTCATGAAATGAAAGAAGTACAGGAATTGCTCAATGCTCACAATCACTTCAAATCAACAATATCCGATGCTGATAACGAATTCAGAGAAATTGTGAATATCGAACGAGTAAGTCTGAGAAATTGTTGTAATTATCTGATATCGTCATTCTGAAAGAAAGAATAGCTTTTAGCTAAATTTGATTCTAACAAAAGTACTTCAAAACTTCCGTCATTTCAATCAAATGTTTTGAACGTTTAAGATTTTTCTCACATTTCAAAAGCTTGCAAAACTTATTATTTAATACTTATTAGATTGCAAAACTTATTAGATTCAATTTCAGGAGAAAAACCATTTATGTAATCCAACAATTATGTCGTAGTTAATTTATTATTTGTTATATACTTAACGCTTTCAAATATTTTTAAAGAGTAAAAAATTGACTTCAGGAAACAATTCAATTAGTCGAACAGAATAATTTGGATCGTGAATTGTTGAAGAATCCTTACACTGATTTATCAGCCGCTGAAATTCGCCGCAAGTGGCAGGAAGTGCAGCAAGCAGTACCATCTCGCGATGCTCAGCTGCAAAGTGAATGTCACCGGCAGCGAAGTTTACATTTATTATTGTCTGAAAACAGAACTGAATTAAAGATTAAAGCGTTAATTGGACACAAATATAACTGAAGCAAAATATAAAACTTTTTAATATGCTCTCTCAAAATACACACTATTAGTTGGTAATTTTAAGTAAAAGTCATTCTCATTCAGAAGGATATCAAAAGTCATAAAAAAGCAAGCAAAAAATAATAATTGCGACAAAATTTATGCAAGCAATTTCATTTCCAAATTAGTCGCATTGGCTATTTTACTTCCTTAATAGAAGGATTCACTTTGCTTTCTTAAGATAACGAAAGATTGCGACAGTTATTTGCTGAGAAAGCTAATGCGACTGGGCCTTGGCTCGAGAAACAACTGGAGCAGGTCTTGGCCATTGGGCTCGGAGGACGAGGCAGCCTGGAAAGCGTTGTCTCTCAGCTTAAAGCCATCCAACAACAGGTCAAAACTACACATTGTTTTGCTTTTCGGTTAAGCAAAAAATTTTGCAAAATAAAACACAACTTTGATTGTTGAAACGGTTTATATAAAACACATCACAGCAGGCTTAGACTTCACAATTTTTAGTATGCAAATACTTTGCGTTAATTATTCATTTTATTTAAGACTTTCAATAATAAAGTGAAGCTAGAAGAACTGGAAAGAATAAATCAGGAAATGCAAGAAAATTACGTGTTTGAAAATCGTCTGACACGTTATTCTATGGAATCACTACGTGTTGGTTGGGAATCTCTTCTGACATCAATCAATAAAACTATTAACGAATTTGAAAATCAGGCATGTCTATACTATATTTACGTTAAAATTTGCACATATTCCTATAACTGAAATTATGCACGCATACAAGAATAATCAAATTGTAAATATTTTGGATCGAGCCTGCCTTTTTTGGTCAAAGATTGCTAAAAAGTTTAGTAACTGCCAAAATT